GTTCTGGGTCCAATCAAGACATGCTTGTCATCATGGACATTCCAGTATTTCTTTAGTAGATCAATCTACTGTTTACATATGACGTATTGACTGTAAGTGTGGTACTGACATCTTTCAATTTTGGGTTTGAATCACTCTTAACATGTGGTTCCTCGGCCTGGTGCTCCTCCGTTCTTTTCTTCACAACTGGAGAGTCAGCTTGTCTGCTTCTGATAAAACACAAACTTCAATCATGAAGAGTCGATTGGCAGCAGAGTACACAAAGTTATGACCCTTCTTATTCATTCCCTTTGTCCATAATTCCAGTGTTCAAAACAATTTTAAACCTAACAAGACAGTCGGGTAGGTGACCAATAAATGTTTCATGCCCATCTTCAAAGTTACCTTCCCACATTCAGACAATATTGAACTTAAATGTATCCTTGCATTACATTTTAATATCAATCCCAATACACTAAAATTAAGACTAGATTGACCAATGAAATGGTAGTTACTTCCTAATGGCTTGCCAACAACAGTATAAGAAAAATCATGGAAAAAAAGAGACAAACGTGTCTCAATTCAGTTGAAAAAATGCAAACAATTATTTGAGAATCTACAAGAAGTTATGATATAACTGAATACGTAGGTAGCCTTAAAATTATTTGCCAGACAGTCGGGCAGCCCGATTGAAAAAGTCACCAGATGCCGGCAGGCGGGTAGGCAGTTATTTCAGACACTGCACCATACTTAGTCATGTTACAGGGGTCATGAGCAAAAGTTACTTGAATGAATCAGATTTTACTCTACGCTGACTAGATGCCCAAGTCAGAGACTGAAAAGCTGAACACCATTGCATATGACTGCAGTACTGTCAGTGTATTAAAATACATACGTTGATGGCTTTTTCTCTTCTTGGCCATCTCCTGTCTTGAGTACTGTTTTTAATCCATCAGGAGAACTGACACCCAACTGAAATAAAACAAACATATATAAGGAAATATAACATGAATTCTACCATGAATTTGGAAATTACATGATTCTGATTGGTCAATCAGGGGCTATTAAATCACGATAAACACCCTCTGATTGAAACAGCTGGTTTGACGGGCCGCATCACTGTGGAAGCAAATATTCATAGAATAGTACTATTTTCAGTCATTGTCGGAATGGCATATTTAAATAACTATATCTACAATTACAAGTTACAGAATACATAGTTGTGGTTACTACAATGTTCAAAGGATGTGTGGCAATACATTTTGTGCAGAAAACACACATAGAATGAGCACTATGCCGTCATAATGGTGATGTGCGGTAGAATAAAAGCTTTGCAAAGCCTCCTTAGTTTTCTTTAGTGGTGCCCACCTCATGTTGGCTTACCAAGTTGCCGTGCTTATATGCTTGCAATGCCCGTCATATGTTCGAGTTACGTATTATGATGTAAACAAACTGCTTGAGCGCCATATTATGTTTACAGGCTGTTGTCAGTGATTCCGTAATTCAGATGGATAACCCACTCAAAACACTGGACTCAACCAATACCTCTTCACTAATTATATTTGCAAATACCAAACAGTTTGTGTTGTGAATAGTCATGGTAGAATGGAGATAAACATACTGTGTTTTCAATGTAGAGCTAGGTTACCTGTAGATTAAATCGCTATAAATTTAACATTTGAAACTTCAGGCTATACAGTATGTTTATTTCCTCAGTCAATATTCTTTCCTTTTACAGGTGAATCACAACCCTGAAAAATTTGTTTTTACATTTCAGATATTGAAAATGGGATATTGTAGGGCAGAAACGTATGGGATAGAGGGCACTGTGAATGTTATGATATTTATAGCCAACCAGGAAATACCAGCATTTTAAATCTGCTATCTGCTAGTTATAATTGTTATTAATTTTAAGAATACTACCTCTATTACATCTTTGCCATAAATCCTGTATTTTGGCTTCAGTCACACTAACTAAATTTTTAGATTTTCAGACGTCCTCTTCAAAGTCAATTACACACAATTAGTTGTTCCCCAATAGCACTATAGCAACCCAAGCTATGACGTGCGTAATGGTGGGAAATCTCACTTCTTTCCAACAACTAACCACTAGAGGTAGATAAATTGGGGAGGTGGGTGGGAGTGTTTCTGCTGTAATATTCTTAGAATTATTAACAATAACTGTTGTTCGATAATTCTTGCGAATCTTCTACCTCTTTTACATCTTTGCCAGAATATACCAGAGGGACCCGGCAGGATCTGCCTCTAGTAACTCACTGTGTAACTGACAGTAATCCTCTTCTGGAAACCATAAATCACTTATTCTAATCCAGACCTGAGATAATTTCCTCTGAAATTTCTCTTGCACAGGTACTTCAGTGACGATGGGTGTATCAGGACATGAAGATAAGCATCTTGTAGGTCTAGGCTGATGAGCCAATCTCCTGTCCTCAAAGTTGACCGCAACTTCCGTACGTATTCCATCTGGAACTTTGGAGGAGGTACCAGGAATGATTTGTTGAGGATCTTTAATTCTATTTTCATCCTCATGTTGGGCGAATTCTTCTTCGGAACTAAGAATACCGGAGAGTAAAAACCTTTGGTCTTGTAGATCTCCGATAGTTTCTGAATGGCTCGCTTCTTGACATCCAGATCTGCTGCCGCTGGCTTGGTCCCGACTAGACAAAATATGCGGCCGACGGCCTGAGATGCTAGGATGGGATGCCTCTTAAAATGCAGTTGGTATCCATGAGCCACGACGTCTATTCTGCTTCCAATTTTCGGCGTATGACAGAAGACTGTCCTCAGAGTCGGCATTATGTTGAAAGAGAGTAGGCGTAAATCACAGTCCATAGACATAACCAGGTCAAAAGGGTCTATAACAACGGAATAGGTGGCAAGGAAGTCAGAATCTCTGTTCACCTCTGCCCCTGCAATAGGATCCTCGTTTCTTGTAGTCGGGCTGACAAAACGAATCCTGAGAAGACTGATGTTTGTCGTACCCCAGACTTGGTCAGAACGAATCCTTCCTGGAGGGGACAAACTTCTTCTTAAGTGGTTGTTTATATGACGAGTCTTTCTGATCCCCCAGAAAAAGGTTTGGGGGATAGGAAGATCAATGTGCCTTGACAGCTAGGTTGATAGTCAATACCTGGATTCTTTCAGTTGTGTCTGGTCTGATCTAGTCTATGACATGGTTCCGGCAACAAACCAAACCAGTTAATATATGCGCCAATGTCCATTGAATGTCTGGACTCCATAGACAGGTCTTAAATCCGGGAAGCAGGTAACGTGACTTTAGTATTTGGGGTGCGTACTAGTACTCGCTTCATAAAGTCCTCGTCCAACACTTGATGGTCTGGAGGTGGAGAATCATGGGTCTGATACAACTTCTGCTTCTGGGGTTATAGCGAAAACGGCACCTCAGCAAAACGTCACTGATACAATGGATGTAAGGGTAGCTGGTCATCATGTCTGAGCTTGAGTAAACTTTCAGGAACCTGATGTACCACCTTGCCTGCATAACTCGGCCATGGCATCCATGGCAATATCTGGTGGATATGTTGAGATGATGTCGGAGCATGACATCCTCCGTATTCCGGCATCTTACAGCTGTCTTAGGTGGTGAAATTTTCTGTCACTGGAGGATGGAGTACAGGCATAAGATGATATAACTTCTCAATGAGTTCCAAAAAGCTGTATCCCTCTGTATAATCCCACTGGGTTGAATCGTCAGTGATAAAGGTCACTTCGACCCTCTCTGACAAAAATCGGCTCCATATGGAAATCAGGAAGGTACTTTTACTATAGTTACAAAAACCTTGTTGAAATATACTCTAGAAACTTAATACCAATCATAACTATTTAAAAGTAATATGGAAACATTTTTGGGACATCTCTTAATATACATTTTTACTGTTTGTTCCAATGGTTCTAAGATATTTCTTTATGTTCTTGCAGACCAGTACTACCGTTCGTGGTCATTATAGATCAAATTACAGCATTGATGACCTGGTTAATGCCTACTAACCAACATGCTAACTTGTTACCAAAGAAAATGTATTTGCACAGAGGGCTGCAGCTAGGTAGTGTGTGTGTGTGTGTTCCACATAAAGACTATCTTCTTGGAAATGTCAGCCGTTATTTACAGCAACACAGGAATCATTCTTGGCCAGTCACATTCGGAATACACGCTATCATCGAGTTCCTGTGGTTTAGAGGTGAGGAAAAATGTTAGTCTGCAATAGTTTATTTGCTAAAAGTAGCCCCATTCTGTCGCTGCTAGACATCTAGTCTTACACTCTTGTAATCCTGAAAGCATATACCCAAAAACACTAAGGAGGCCTCGCATCAACATGATCAAGGCCAAGTACCCGGGTCCAATACTCCAACCATAACAAATTGAAAAACTCATGCTTACGGCTTGTGCAAGAAGTTGCTTTCGCTTCAGTGACTTCTCACGTAATTCTTTTAAACGATCACCCATTTGGGAAACCAAATAATGATGACACAAAGTAAAATTTGTCACCCGTCTTCTCGAACTGTATTCCGCTTTTCCCTCCAACGGAAATAGAGCCAATTTGCGACTCTCGTGGACTGAGCTTCTGTCTCCTGATTACAACGTACCGCTTTACTGCCTAACCAAAACACCAGTTACGCGTTTAGAACTACAAAAGATTTACTGATCTGTTATGCTGATGTAAGTCAAGGTTTAATAATGATCAAATGTTTCAAAAACAACCATGGACGAAAACTGTGTTGTTACGTTTATACATTTGTGGTGTTTCTTAGTTTACGACAACCGGAAGACAATCTTCATATTGTCCTTTCCTTCCTTAAAACATTATCAATACTTTCAGTCTAAATCTACATGGAATGTTTTAAAGTTTTGTGAAAATTGTCTTCTTCTACAACAGTGAGATTTATCAGGCATATTTTTATTAAATAAAAAACCTGAGTTCGTGTTGTTTTTTATGAGATATTTGTTTTGGTAAATGCGCCATCATTAGTCTTAGGACTAGTTTTGAGACTACTAGTATCCTGCCGTCTGCTGAATTGCTGCATGCATGATATGATATGATTTTCTTAATCTTATGACGTGTTGTTACAAATTCATTATGATTTGAATATATCTGACAAAACCGACATTTACAATATTTCATTATGCCGCGTTTGAATGGAATCTTATGTTCTGGACTTAAACCTCTGAGAAAGTTTGAAAACTATAAACCGGTACCGACGTACAAAATTCTGTTGCCACCTATATTGAAAGATTCTGTGCCAGACACTGGGGGAAAAACACAAGGTAAGATTGTTTAAATCAGTTTGTCATTAGAGCGATAGTATCTGTTGATATAAGGGAATGAATTTGTAGTTAATAACTTGTGCCAGCAATTATTCTACAAGCTATGAGGCAATAGACTTAGCTGTGACAAGTAAAATAACTGAGTTAGTCCTTGGCCTGGCCTTGGCTATATGGATGTCAACATTATGCCAGTGTAATAGGCATGCCTTGCCTGAGGCAACCCAGTGACAGTAGAGTTCACTAGCTCTGCGGAGTGTCTAGATCGAATCCCATTACTGACTCACGTCCCTTTTGTGTTGTGTTCAATAAGATTTTAAATGTGCTGGTTTAACCGTGAGCAGTCAGCTGGGAGAATCTGTAGTATGGTTCATTAGGCAGGGGAATAAAGACAAAAAGGCTTCTTGAAAAGATAATAAATTTTAATGAATAACAAAAGTGAAATGGTAACAAGATATAAAATTGAGAAACAATCTATAAAACCGATTGTCTATGTACTACATATTTTTACCCCTAAGCCTTCTTATTCCTAACCCTACTTCTCCCCTGAGGAAACTTTAAACAAACTATATTAATAAATCTACCTACACTACGAATCTACTTAGTTCCTAATTTCTCCCCCACCCAGGTACATAACAACCTATTCTACAACTTAAAGGGGCACTGATCTAACGCAATTCCCCGGACTGGTTGTTGCCTTTGTTATTGTTTTTTTCCCCGTGAGTACCTGGATGATACGCAACGCAACTGAGCGTGACCAGAGACTGGGCTACCGTCTGCAAGGACAGCTAAATAAACTTGGAGGCTGGAGGCAATATTTGTTTTACGCATTTTTACATAAACACTGATTGGTTAACTGTGATCTATAAAGATTTCGACAAAGGGTGCATGTTAATTAATTTCTTCAGCCTAAACAAACAGACAAAAAGAACGGCGGAGCTCATCGGATGTCGTCATTTGGAAATACCCTAGATGGTTATAGTTTAATACTAAAAAAGTATTCATGCAGTGAAAGCATTTTCAGATTTCGGATTTCGGATTGCGTCGATAATACGATTTCTACTCCCTTGTTGTCATCCACGTTTTCTCGTATAACCCTACACTTGTGTATTTGTCGTCATTCACTTGATGCTCAGTTAATGAATTTATTACAGGTACAATTAATGGTAGCACCACATAGATTACCTGACAAAGGTTCCCATTTGGCATTTATTGTGTCTGGGGTAATTATTCAATCTAAATCCAGGTTTGAAGTGAGGTGAAATGTGTGTTATGTAATATGCACGTGGCAGCCCAGCAAGAGATGAATGATCAGTTGATTTACTTTTTTTGTAAATCAACGGATCGTTCCTAGTCATCAAAGGATTAACAGAAAATACGTTGATTGATTAATCACTGTTATCTTGCACAGTGGATATGTCAAAAGTGAGTGTTTACATGTCTAGGTTTACTAAAACAAAGGGAATACACTCATATCATGGCGTGAAGTGCCGCTGTAAAAACAACATACTTTGTTCAAAGGGTGAACTGATAATACGTTGATTGATTGATCATTGTTATCTATCACTCAATGGATTTTTTAGGAACCGTGGACGTTATGAAAATAGTTGTCACTTGGGCTTTCTCAGCCGACCCTTGAGGCTTGACACCTATGTGAAACACCTGAAACAATCCAAGTGATCAGTTGAGAAACGAACACGGGTTATAATATCCCGAAACGATATATATCTTTTAGAATATTTGATTGTTACAGAGACACGTGACATCGAATAAGTTTCTTTGTATAGCTTCAGACGAGTTGGATATTGTTCCTTTGTGTGGATATTCACGGATACATTCCTCGAACAAGGAAGCTGCCTAAAATTTATACACATAAATTTGGTAGGTTGTAATTATGGTATTTGCATTTTGTTTTCCTTCATTTGAACCGATTCGTTCTTGTTTCTCTACGTCTTGGTTGGAAATTCTTCAATGCGCGATAGACGTTGTTTTCAGAGGTCTTTTCCTTTGTAAGCGTGTATATATTACCGTCAATTTGTAAAATGTGATTCTCTCAGGCAATTTATAAAATGTGTAAATATTTCAGTCATTTTGACTAAAAAATCTGTCCAGATTGATTAAGACGATCAAAAGGGCCTACAAACATCACAACAGATTATTATGTAGGATTAGAAGCCAAACAACATAGAAATGTACTTTTCAACGTAATATTTTCAGTCCCTTGGTGATGACATTAAACATCAAAATGTTTGGAATTCGTTATCATAATAATACAGATGGAAATGTTTTTCAGTCACTTTGTAAAATAACTGAATATTTATACGTTTAATAAATATGTTACACATTTTGACAGTAAAAAAAATATACACACTATAAAAAAAAGCAATGCTCAGGTGAAATATTTACTTTGTGTTGCAAGTCAAAATAGTGTAAACGAAAATCACAAAATTACCAAGCTAGTGACTTATCAAAACTTCGTCACAATTACCGATGCTACCCACAAAGATACCTACATTTCCTTATTATCTTGAAAACTGTATTTCATTTTGTTGATCAATGTGACCATACTCCCTTATTACTACCGGTATCCATAAAAGTGACTAATGCGCTTATGAATGGCGCAGCAGAGGTCGCGAACTAGTCTAGATTTCTGCTATACATCGGGGTACTCACTGGGAAAAAAACAATAACAAAGGCAACAACCAGTCCCGGAGAATTGCGTTAGATCAGTGCCCCTTTAAGATAGAGGTGTTTTGTTAATCAAGAGTCGGTGTCAAATTTCCTTGAACTAGAGTGGACTTACTTGTCGGGAATCCTGAGCTCATAAGACACTGAATGCTGCAGTACTAGGTCCTTATATACCACTAGGCAGACCCTTGACCCGGTCAGAGGTAAACTCCTGTGGGACAGCTATTTGCCAGCAACACTGTTCGCGACCAATAAGGCATTCCTACTATACTGCCCCCGGCTCATCATAATTTGTGGTGGAACAAAAAACACGCAGCTCGAGCACTCAAGTAGGAAAACACCCCCACACACCCCTAATGACCTTTGTATCATATATAAGAGGTTCAATAGCCAGTTGATGTCCCTTACCCTATGTGATTACCCTAATTTACATGATTTCCTACACCAGCTTTTTAGGATTTTCATTTACATTATTTAGAATATGAACAATAAGGGTGTTGCAAACAACGGAAATTTTGGCAAGACTGCAGTTTACCGGTTGCAGCTTAAAGGGCTCCTTGGCATCTGGCAGCTGTGGCTCTGGCTTCACTTGGCCTATCTTTGATCATTAGTGTTGCATACCCTTTTTTGATCAAACACCCCTTCAGGATCCTGAGGGTTGGACACCCTTACCAGTCAAACTCCACTTTAAAAACCTTAGGGTAAGGTTCCCCTTTACGATCATTAGGATCAGGTGTGAGTTAGGGTTAGAGTTAGCGTTAGCTTCTCAGCCACTGTGCATGCAGATCAAGACAAACAATCAGGTTCTGATCATGAGGTAAATGAGCATTAGTTATTTGTGATAGAGATGGTGGTAAAGTGTTGGCTAATTAGATTGTCTCATTAGCCTTGCCTAGCCTAGCTTCAAGCTGGCAGCAACACAAGTTCATTCGCCCACTCAGTGATAATTGAAATCCAAAAAAGTATGCCTGATAAAGTACATTACTCCCAAACCTTTTGTGAGCTACATATCCTTTTGAGTCTTTCTCCTGTACTAATATTGACATCACTATTTCAGTTGCAGTATGTCTGCAGCAAATGAACGTCATGATGGCTTGTTGGAAGAACAACGAATTTAATGAAAGCAAATGTTCGGAAGAAATTAAGGCCTTTAGTGAATGTATAGAGAAGTCAAATGTAAGTATTACTTGTGGCATTAAATTAAAAATATTAAAAAGGTGACAGAAAACTGGCCATGTTATGAGGGGTGGCTGAAATGTTCTGAATCTGAGCCTGTCTCATTAGAATCAGACCTTTTTTGTCGCTGCTGCTAATCAAAGATCTGAGGACATCCCATTACGGGTCTCTCTTTCATCCAACCAGACTGTCACCTGATCAGGAAACCAACAGTCGGAATGTGTTTTCTAATCAGGCAACCTCAAAAAGGCTAATACAGGGTATTCTGAATGCCATTTTCAGGCTGTATGACAGATTCTGTCAAAATCATCGTCTATCTCTTGATTCAATGGGGTAAGCATTTGAAACGGAAGAGACTTTCTTGTGGTAAGTACTGCTGTACAATCTCGGCCATCTGTTGGACATTCCAGAAATATCTTCTGTTCAGTTTTCAAAATTTAAGTCCAAAACATTGTCAAAATATATTGAAGTTGACAGTTTGAAACTACTGCCGTAAAGCTCGAGAAAGCTGCTTTCTGATTGGCTAATGTTGACTTCTTGTTATTTTGTCATTTCATGGGTTGGTCAAAATTCGCGAAAGGTCGTTCTGATGTGACCTGTAATGGGATGTCCTCAGATCTTTGTTCAATAGTAGAGAGAACTCAGATCTGATTTTGATGAGATTGGATCTACACCAGCTCTATGTTTGTTCAGTCTCATTAACAATAACTTTAGATCTATTACTCTGATAAGATACCTCACTGCATCAAGGTCTGAGGACACCTAGAATGTTGCGTCAGGTAAACCCTGAGCAAACTTTGACTGCCCAGTCTAAATGAAGGATGTGTGGGTTCTTGATCCTTGCAGATATGAGGCTCCTAAAATGGTTCAGCTTCATTTCTTTACCACTTTGATTCGCAAATTTAGGTCAGAGCTAGAGATAAGTTGCCCATTTGCGTAAAATACCCCCCAATACTATTCAAAACCCAATTACTTTCAATTAACTTGTGTACAGAAACGCATGCATTAAATGAAAAACTCTGTTGTTTGAAAACGGCAAGCGTAAGTACCCAATGAAGCTTTTTCAGCATGCATACAACAGAATTAATTTCAGAAACACAATTACGAGATAATTACTTTTCGAGTCAAGCCTATATTAAGAACCGTTATATGCATCTAAAGCATTATTTCTTTTCTTTTTTTAAATCTCGAAATGTTTACTCATTTTTGGAAAAACTCAATAGAGTGATTAATAGATAAGTGAAAAAATATTGGTTACCCAATTAAAAATGTAATAACCCAATTAAAATTGAAACCTTCAAGTTAAAACTCAATTGCTCAAAATGTTATCTGGAGCTCTGCTACATGAAACACGCATCAAGGCAACCTATTATTGAAAAATGCAACCTTATATTTATTTCAACATGTACCGAGCGCATTTAAAGTGTTTCAAATTTGTGTCTGACTAATCCTTATCTTTCTATGCAACAACGATTTTTGAACACACTCAATACCTCTAAGGTTCAATTTCCATACCACATCACTAATCTCTCGTTATGTCTAATTTGTCATGCTTTCATGGGCTGAATGTCATCAAACTTTTGGTACTTCAAGATTATGTTCACATGTTCCTATCACATTTTACAGCAATATGTCATTAGTTTTTATGTTTTGGCTGGACTAACGAGTCTATGCACAGTCCAATCGAAATCCAATCGAATCGTATACTGCCGTGCAGATATTGGTGGATTGCCGGATTTGCAAAATATGTGTACCACCAACTCAATGTCAACAGATATTTTCCAAATCTTTTCATGTTTTTAATGAAGGTGCTCGCATGAGATGCACTTCACGAAATAAGGCCTGTTTTATTACAGTATAGATTTTGTTTATGGATCAAAACGTCTTGACTGGGCGCCGCCATTTTGCTTGAAGCAAATGCAAGTAATATGAGAGGTGGATTCTGATTGGTCAATGGGAGGGACATAGAAGGGAAATAACTCGTAATAGGCACTGGTGGTGCTATTATCGAGGCCAGGAATTCCAGCCTTAATTGAACCCTGCTACGGTATTTTTTGTGTGCATGCCCTGGTGTTCAGCAGCAACATTGTGTACTGAATATCCACAACAATATAATGGAGCGGCCTTAATCATTTACATTCAGAAATAGTCGTTTTAGTTTGTTTTCGAGATAATGAAATCAGATATGCTGGTCTTGTATGCGTCGCTCAATTATACTGATAAATTAGAAGCCTTGATACTTTTTGGCAGGTTAGAACCCATGAAGAGCGGGGTTAGAATAGGTCTTCTGCAACCCATGCTTGCTGTAAGAGGCGACTATGCTTGTCATAAGAGGCGACTAATGGGATCAGGTGGTCAGACTCGCTAACATTGTTAATGTCATCGTATCCCATTTGCGTAGATTGATGCTCATGTCAATCTCTTGATTGTGTGGTCATGACTCAATTATGTACAGACCACCTTCATGTAGCTTGAAATTGCTGAGTGAGGCGTTAACCCTCTGGATGCCGAGTTTTTTTTCTGACGCACATTTTCCTAAGATCGGAAAAGGGAAGGTTGTGCGAGAATTGCGCTCACGCGGCACTGGATCTACCTCTGGCTATAAAATTACGCAGAGATGAAGAATATTAAATTTCCTATTTGATGGTGTAAATTTAACTGTAAATATCAAACCGGTTTACAAAAAAGACACTCCTAAGTGTTGTCCGAGAATATATTCTGCGTTGAAAAACAGTAAATTTCTCCGCTTTTTATCGTACACCGATAAAAGTACTGTGCGACAATTTTTTTAATTAAGAAGCTTTTCGGAAACTGTGAGCGAACAAAATACTGCCTAATATCTGAAGGACATAACTACATATCAAATGGAGTTATATGCGTTTGTATAACGACATACATTCAATTCCAAAAATAGCATGCCGTAAATGACGAAAACTGCTTTTTCTCTATGACGTCAAAAGGTGACAGAGAGATTTCACACGTACAAAGAAAAGGGGACATAACTCCGCTATGCTTAGCTCTAGTTTGTTGTAACTCAGGTCACTTGGTGAGAATTAGCTGTGGGTAAGGACAATGTATTTTCGTGGTGTTTTGTTCAGGAGGAACCAAACTATTCCAACACAAATATCGATATTGAAACTGTACACGTTTAGTTATAAAATATACCCATAAGAAATTATGAAATCGTACTTCATTAAAAATGAGTTAATAGAGAAATGGATGGCCTTATCTAACCTATAACTTAGTCCTTAGATTCCAACATTCTCCTGATTGTGTAAGTGTAATTTGACTAATGTTGCATCATTATTAATGGAGCACAAGCCTTATCATCAAATGTAATGAAATACTCTAAAAATAAAACCATTCCTTTTGACGTCATGGCTGGTTTTATGTCTTTGATAACGTCGGAAAAAGACGACACTGGTATTTTGATTAATATATATCTCCCCTAATTTTCTTTCATGGTATGGAAAATCACGATGTGTGGAACGGAATTTGACGCTTTTTCGACACAACATAAAAGTACTGCTCTCACCAAGCTAATAATGTCTTGAATATGTAAACAATTAGATAGTTTATCGTGTATCTTTATTGGACAAGACAAGCACCTGTTTAGCATAAATTTACGTAATAAAATTCCCAAAAGAATATTTCAAAACAACCAAACATATATTCAATATTGGACATATATTTGTTCATTATTATGTTATTATTTCTTACACAATAAAAGATGCAAAGAAAGCTCTATTGGTATAGAATTATCAGGATAATCGTATACGGTTGAACCAACGGGGTACCTGGCATGGGTTTTATTTTTATACATTTTACAATTCCTGGAGAAATAAAGTAAACTGTTTACTATCCTGTGATCACAATATTGACAAAAGAATGAAACCATTGATTATATAATGCAAAACGAGAGGAATAATTCGTAAATTGTTTGTGACTAACGCGCACCTGGCGAATCGTTAGATATCACTTTTCTCTGTATCTAACGACATAAAAGACAATTCCAAGACCAAGACATTATAGAAATGTGTGCATATATTTTACCGAAAAATATTATCCATTTTGTTAAAGTAATATAATCAGTTTTAGTTATAAAATAAAATGAAACGGCTATTCATGGACATTGGTTATATGATCTTATAATATTGACTAATTACACATCCAAAGAAATACGTACATGCTGCAGTTACATTTACACTTCATCTTGTAACACTTGTCCAAAGGAAATAAGAAATATCGTAGTCGACACTATAGACCTATCACATTCTTATGTAAACAATGTTCAAACAAACAGGAGATTATCAAAGGTTCGTTCATACATGTTGTGGCCTATATGTACGTATGATTTCATTTTGAACATTGACAAATATCCAAAGTGAAATTAATTGTGTGAAAAAAATGTATAAAAGACATGCAAAATATACACCATAACTGAAACTGTAAACAGCATGATACAATGATCGTGTGCACTCTCATTCAAGGACCTTCACCTCAATGAAATTACCAAATATGTACAACAATGTTGACGTATGACATCACTACCTGTGACCCACTTTTACAAAATGGCGTGTACACTGTCAACAGTAGGCGGGATTGTACCAGGGGACTTTCGTTGATTCAGGGATCGTATAAACATAAATGTGACATGTAAGTAATCAGAAACATTCTGACAATCTATGTACTGTTGTTTGTTGTCATAATTTTCATTGAAACAAACGGAAATAGTCAGAAATTCCGATAAATACCGTTGTCGTTGTGCGTGATTTTGCGTCAGTCATGGCGTCAACCAGAACGGTAACTTTGACAACTTCTGTTGAAAATATAAAATCATTGCAATGTATCTATTTTAAATTCCCTAATTCTTCCTACGATTCTCTTCCCATGCATATTCTGAAAATGTTGAGCCTATATCTTGAACGAATAGACGAATGGATAGCTCAAAATAGGAGAAAATTCTACACTGTGTAAAATCTGAATTTTGCTTTGTTTAC